AAGACTTGCCTTTGGGCTGTGCTCTCGGGAAGGACTAGGGTGTTTTCCTTTGGGACAGGCACTGAGAGTTTGGGGTAAATTGTGGTTTCAGGCTGAAACCCAAATTGCCAAGAGCATTACAGATCCTGGGGATTTTTAATTGTCTCTGTATTTTAAGTCACCCTGGGTTCAGGGCCCACTGGTGATGTAGAAAGTAGAATTTACAGCAGGTCAGTAAGAGAGAATTGTAAAACTTCACATACCACACTCTGTTTTGGTTTCTCCCATTCCCACATTTCATGTGGACACTTCAGCTGAATTCTCTCTGCACTTGGACAGGGTTTGAGGTGGATCTCTTCCATCCATCCAGTGCTGAGTCCTCATAGCTGTGAGCATCCATCTCAGTTCAGCAAGTCTTTATCAATGTCTTTTAACCAACAGAACTCGGGTGAAGCACCCAAAATGTTTTCAATCCTGGTTCACACTTTCTGAAATCTCTGAAACAACTTTATTGTTAGCAATAGGAACTGCCAATCATTTGGTTTTTTTCTCCCTCAAGCTCCAAGAGTTGCAAACAGTTGTTTGGGTTTTGTAAGGAAATTTCACTGCAAATAACACTATCTAAAATCCGTTGTGTACAGGTTTAAAATAATCCTTAGATTTGCTTCATTTAAGAGACAAGGAAATGCATTCTAAGAAATCTTCATTTTTTTCTGATGTGATCCATCTCTCTCTCTTGCCCACACTGTTCTAACATTGCAAGGATAATGGTCTGTAATGCTTTTCCTAGAAAGTCTGCAGTTACTGACTTGGATAATGGAGGCACATGGATGAGAGCTGCTCTTCCTTTGCCATAATGCAGAGAGGTGTAGTAGGTGTAATCACAGATGTACCTGCAATATTAAATCCAAAACAAAAACAGCAACCTGAATTAAGGCTTAGTAAACTCTGATTAAATTTAAATATTCTAAGTAGCCAAACCAGATCTGGTTTATGAAATTATTAAAAACATATTTGCTTAGTGAGTAAAGGAAATGCTGAAATAAACCAAGTTTGAGAAACAAATGTGCCTTATCTGATGGTTTGGTTTCTCAGACACCCACCCAGAAAGAACTTTAAATAAAAAAAATCCCAAGACAGACGTTCTTTGCTGTAAGCTCTGTGGGGTGGGAAAGGTAACACACCCCAGTGGGTGCTACAACCACAGTTTGTTGTGTAAGGCACAAAATCTCTCCATCTGGAGGGGTTTTTCTTATCATTCCACCTTTGACTTGCAGGCGAAAATCCTGAATTTAAGAGCCAAGATGACCTGATTTTTGTTTAAAAACAAAATTACTGTTTTCTTTGTGTTCCTTTTCCATGAAGAGTAGCATGGTAGAAAATTGCTTCAGTACTACTGGAACACATAATGAGATCACAGCCTGGTTCTAGAGGTACCTGTAATTGCTGTTCTCCCGTGTGTGTATTTACATTTCGTATTCCTCCCAGTTGGGAAAAATAGATTAAAATCTGCTACTAGGTATTGCTTTCAGACTCTGTTAATAGCTGAGGTTTACTGGAGTTCTTAATCACAGCGTGTGCTGTGTTGGAACTTGTTTCTTTAGGAATCTACAAATCCATGGAAAAATATCTACTGGCTGTAGCTTTTCATGCAGGTTGCTTTACATAAAATTTAAATTCATCCCAATTTCAAACTTGTGCCCTTCTGAAGGCTTTGCCTCAAAGTGATTTTAGTTGGAGGGAAAGTCATGGCAAAGATTCTCCAAGGCTAAATGAGCTGATGGAGTTGGTTCTGCTGTTACTGTGAGACCCCAAGACTCGATGCTTACCTTCCTGCATCTCTGGAAAAGATGATATCAATCCCTTCCACTGAAATGGTTTTCCAGAGAGTCTTCATATTAATTGTAGATTCAATCTTCTCTGGGCCATCTAGCATGCAGCAGGCACCTTCTGGGTGGAAACCACAAGCATCTCTCTCTTGGTAGCCTTTGTTCTTCCCACACTGCTCCAGGATGATGAGCGCTGTGGTGGATGAAGCCAGCCCAACGTGAACAGTAAGCTGCTTTTTCCCACCAGAGTGAATAACAGGAAATTAAAAATGAGACCTGTTTTAAACAACATTTTCATGCAAAAGTGCCAAGCGTTATGTGAGCTCCTAGCTTCAAGGTGGGGAGTCTTGCTCACATCTAAAGAAAACTTCGATAAGAGATTCTAAATGAGAACAAAGTTATGCTTTAGTTTTTGTTGTGTCTAGTCAGCTCAGGACTGCAGAGCTGTGGTACTTTTTTTGCAGTTTATGGTAGATTTTATTTTTTTTTTTTGCTTTCCTTTGTTCAGCATCAGTTATGCTGTTTAAGTGGCACAGGGTTAAATCAGCATGTTAATTAGTGTGTGCTCCAAATTTCAGTTTGAAACCTTCAGTAGTCACTTTTCAAAGTTGTTTGATGTTTGCAATACTCTCTTGGTGATCTTTTTAAAGATCCTCTCATCATACTCATAAATCAAGGGGGAAAATTGTGTAACTTCCTCATTACCCACCAGTGGCTGAAGAGTTGTCCATATCTTGATGACTTGCTCCTTTGCTTTTTGGTAAACCACCGGCAGCTGCATGATCTGGAGATCAATGTTTTCATTGAGGCCTCTCTTGGACAGCTCCTGTGTTTACAAAAAAGCCACCACGGACTTGAAAGAGTATTGGATTCTGACTGACATAAAGAAATTGAGCTGATTCAGCTGAGAAAACACCTAAAAGAGCAATGCCTAAGCCCATGGGTCAGAAACATTGGTCTGCGATGAGATTTATTTTGTGGGAGCTCCCTCTCTTTTAACTGGAATAGACTCAAATGTGCTAAACAGTTTCGTAATGTCGTGTCCATGTGGAGCCATTGTTGTGTTTTCCAGAGGGATGCTCAAGTCTCCAATGGGTGGGAGTGGCTATTGCTTAGGGATTGATCCCAAGGGAACCATGAGATAGTGTCCATGAAAAGGTCCACACTTGAAAGCATGTAAATAGGCTTTGCTACAGGTAAGAGCTGTTCCTGTGAAGGATCTGGTAGATAAACTGCACTGTCACGAGACAAAACCAAAGGGAAGTCACATTAGCTGTAACTCAAGTGACATGGGATCTGCTGCCTTGAATGGATTCAGGTAGGCTGTGCTGGAGGTGACTGTCAACACAAGGAAGGTCACAGGAGGGTCTAAAATGTGCTTCTCTAGTAAAAGGAAATGTCACTGGGATGTTATTTCTTTGTCATTTATGTAGAGTTGAATTACCATATGGAACCTTTTCTTAAAGGAAACAAATTCATGGAGCAGAGTGACCAGGTGGTTACAAGATGGTCAGGAGAATAAATGTCATGGCTTGCAATGATTTTTGTTAGTGGAACAGAGCTAACAAACAAGGCATAAGCCCCTAAGTAGAAGGCAGGCAGCTGCAATGGCAGGATGGAGGGAAGGCATCCCAGGTGGAAAGCTTTGTCCCAGAAAAGTACAATGGTGGTTGAAAGTCCCTGCTGCATTTGAGTAGATCACGACCAAAGGAGAGCACAGATGAAGTTTCCAAGGGGGGCACAGGCAAAAAGTCAGCAGCAGAGGTGTCTGATTAGCCCAAGAAGCCTGTAACTGTATTAGATGTCATTGTCTTCTCAAGTTTTCATTTCTCACTCAGGCTCCTCATGTGGATGAGGCCCACAGTTCCGAGCTGTGCTATCTGGGAAATTTGCCCTTCAACACCAACTTCCTATATAAACTGTTCCAATTTTCTTGTCAGCGGAAGCATTGATTAGCTGTGCTCAATAAACTATTTGACAAAAGCAAGGAAACAATGCCTGCAGGGAAGTAAACACATTTGGAGAACAGTGCCAGCCTTTTTTCCTCTGGGCTCTGACAGTCTTTGAGAGACCATTGCATCATCTTGCTGAAGAATGCTGTACTGTGCCTGAGCCTCCAAAAGAGAAAACCCCAGCTGGTTCACAATTAGCATTTTCTTTTCTAAAGCAAGTTTAGTTTTTACATTTAATGAGATTCTTCCTTTTTAACTGTAAGGCTCAGAGAACTTGACTACTCCTAACTTTGGTACAGAGCGTGGAAACACAAAGTAAGCTGTAAGGCTGTTCTCCTTTCATGTTCTCTGGGCTGACAGACATTCTGTTGTCACCATTTGTCATGGCAGAAACACGCAAAAATCCTTTTGTGCAGGACAAACCAAAGCTGGCCAATAGCAAAGGGCTGAGAATTTGTGTTAAAGGAAGATAGTTTGCTATGTTCTATGCGATTTGAGCATGTTGTCAATAACATCTATTACTGTGTTGTCTAAGAATCCCAGCCGTGGGTTTATACCCTGCTAGACCAGATGCTGGGCACACATGGAACAAAACAAGGGTTGTTCCTTGTCTCAGCCTTAACTAGAACCATTTTTGCATTTAGGGTGGGAGACTGAAGATGGTTAGAGGAGGATAACTGCACCTGGAAAGTGGAGCTCACACTGGGAAGTGAATTCAGTAAACAAGTGCCTGTCTGTCATAGTTGAAACAGCAAACGAAACTTCAAAGGGAGAGAATAGTTTTGGAGGTCTGTTTTGTGGGGAAAATGGTTCAAAAGAAAGTGGGAAGATTATTTGTTGGGAAGGTCTCCTAGAAGGGAAATGAAATCTAGCAGTATCAGTTGCTGACCACGGGCTGTTGGTGAGTTGTGGTCAATAGTCCCAGGACACTGGTGTTCCAGTCCATGGTGTCATACAGCCCTCCCTGAGGAGAAGCAACTTGCACAGGCCTGTGCTCAAATGCAGTGGCTGTGGCACATGGGGTGCTGGAAGCATCTGGAACTTTTAGGAAATGCCAGAAAATGCCACTGAGTTTGCCTGAGCTTTTGCTGATTTGGGTTGCCAGGAAGAGTCCTAATTTTGTGAGCTGCTTGTGTCGGTGCAGAAAGAAAACCTGAAGTTATCAGTTGACCCAGTCAGACTGCAAGAACATTGCAAACAAAGGTGTTTTGCTTGATTGGTTAGTGGATTTTTGTTTAGGTTTTTGTATTGGATTTTTGTTTAGGTTTTTGTTTGGTTTGGGGTTTTTTGTT